GCGCGCGGTGGTGGGAGGTAACAGAGAAGGAGGACTGCTTCGCTGATGTGGTGGTGTCGGGGAGCTTGTCGGCCATTTTCAAGGTGGGTGTGAACTCCGGGGAGTGTTTATGCGCGGCTTGAGGAGGTTGAGCAGCTCCAATCAGGAAGAGGATTGGATTTGTATGCATGGAAACAAGGTGGTGGATGTGAACACTAATAAGAAGAAGAAAGAGGGGAGTGGTTGTAAAAAATTGTTAGATTAGGATTTGGGGGAAGCAGGATGGATGTTTTGTGGAAGGAGGAGCAATGTGTGGAAGTATGAGACACTTCATCATCCGGGGGTTAGCTTGGATGAGCACGAAATGGACGGGACTACTAGTCTCGTCCATTTGTTTTGGCATGCTAATATGGGACACTTCATCATCTAGGGGTTAGGTTGGATGAGCATGAAATGGATGAGACTACTACTCTCGTCCATTTGGTTTGGCATGCTAATACTGGATTAACATGCCTTAACTACACGGGACTAGTAGTCCGTGTAGTTCAAAAAAAATTCCCGCAGCGAAATTGACCCTTTTCATTTGAGCTAGCGCTGAGATGAAAATGGTTGATTTTGCTGTTTTTTTGGAGAAGATCGATTTTGCTCATTAAATTTGTAAAAGGGTTGTTTTTAAAAATTTTGTCTTATTTTAAAAGAAGATATGCTCGAGTCATAAAAAAAGTAAAATAGAGTTTTACCATTTTCAGAGAGGATAATGGTAGGGTTCCCATAGTTTTCCTTGACATATGTTACAGCTTTGTACATTCCCCACGGCACAATGTAAAGCCACTTGGAGTTCGCCTATGTCAAGAATAGAGAAAGAAATCTGTTGGTATTGCACTTTAATTAATTAATTAAAGAGAGCATTATCTTCTATATTTGTAAATAAGAAAAAAGCTATCTATAGAAAAGTCTCCGAAATGAGCACTCTGAAAAAGTGAAATTGTAAGAAAATATTACAAAATATTCACATCCTCCTCAAACTCGTGTTATTTTCTAGATTTAGAGCTCTTGACTTTGATTCCATGTGAAACATGAGAAAGAAATCTCTTATTATTCTTGATACAAATAAAAGGGCACCACGTACTCTGTATACATATTGATGTTACGTATTGATGTGTGTTAACCATGTAAAATTTCATATATTAAAGGTCCAAAACTCTAAAAAACACTACGAGATGGAAAAATACTAGAATATGCAGTATGTAAGAGCCAGCCTACAAAGATATTAAACTTCATTCCTCGCTTTGCATCTAAACAAAGTAATTAAAAAAAGTTGCCGTATAATAAAATTTCAGTAGGATTCGGATCCTCTCCACTATGAAAAAAATAGTGGAGGGACCACTACATAATCACAGCCATTGATTATCTAGTTGATGGTTATGATTTTTTCTTTTAGTGCAAATTAGGAATGAGTGCAATACACGGGGGTATGGTAAGTGTTAGATTTAGATTGTATCATAACCGTCTACTAAATAATTAATGCTTGAGATTAAAAGTAGTGGTCTCTCCACTACTTTTTTGTAGTGGAGAGGATCCAAATCCATTTCAGTAATTACCTGTGGTCCAATTGGCACTCCGTTACGATCAACTGCATAGTTGAAAACAAGCAGGGAAACAAAATTAATAAAGCTAAGCAAATGATGATATATGGACATATAAAGATATGGATGGGGTAGAGATCAAGCTCACAAGCAAATCCAACTCTCCAGTCAAGAGCATAGCTAGTAGATTTTGCTTGCTTTGGCACGTGAGGATCATACATATAATAAGCAGTGTATTGATTGATTCCCACAAAATCTATGGATCCTTTTACCATTTGAACCTCATTTGGAGTAAATTTAGGCAGCCTTTCGTTAACAATCTCTTGTAGTGATTTTGGATACTCGCCATAGATTACTGGGTGGAGAAACCTAAGCATGGAAAATAACAGTAAAAATTTAGGCAGTAACTAATTTCAAGAGAAAACTTTATGAACTTGCTGTGTTAGTAATTTAAAATGTTATTTACCATCCGATATGGAAGTCCCTTGCTCTTTGAGCTGCTGCTTGGTCATCCGTGGAGTTGGATAAAGGTTCATACCAAACAAAATCTAATAGGATTCCTATTCTTCCTTTTTGTGTAGCCTGAAAAGATCAGAAATAGCAATATCATAAATAAAATGAAAACGTTATCTGCCAATTAACCCCTAATAATGAACTTGAAGGAAATTACTGTCATGACCCACATATATCTAGTTAATGTTTGAGTCTTTGTGTAAAGTTCGGCTAACTCTAGTTTTGAGCTAAACGAGTTCTATCTATTTTGATCGAGGCGAGGTGTGGTTAAATACAGTACCAGTTCCAAAGGTCTTCTGTTTTGGCTTACGAAATACTAGGTCAGTTTTGATCTAGTTTTTCTTAAGCAAGCTTCTTAACCAAAATAGGATCATGATTAATCTTGGTCCCATATTAGAAAGTTATGTCCTTTCTTTCTTCGTCTATTTTCTCGATATCCTTAATTGATGATAACAATGCAAGTAATTCATTTAATTACCTGATATTTTTCTCGGTATCTCTTCACTGCAGCAGCATGAGAGAGGATCAAATTGTGGGCAACAATGTAAGGCTCAGTAGCAGAGTTACCACCAGCACTGCAGTTTGTGCATCTTGCAGGGGCAAAACTGCCTTCATCATATCCAAGAGCAGCCACCACTCTTGGCTCATTAAATGTCATCCAGTGTTTAACTCTATCCCCAAATGTTTTGAAACAAAAATCTGCGTAATCTGCATAATCCTTCCTGCAACACAATGAGAAATCCACCTCTGATACTTTATCTTTTTTTTCATTATAATCATTTCAATTTTCTTAATTTCGTAATGAACACTAATATAGTGATAAGATTATAGTCAACTAAATAAATAAGACTCAAAGTTGATTAAGAAGGATAGCTAGTTATTAATTATATTTAATGATGAAGATAGTTTGAACATAGATGAATGGGAAAATAGGATTCATTTATGCTAAAGACTTCTCTTGTTTTGTCGACATGGTCACTATATGCGAGTGAATCCTTGTCTAAATAAAATTATCAAAAAACTAAAGAAGAAATTAGATTTCTTTTGGCTAAGAGAATGATTTTTTATTTTTTGGTTATATTTTTTAATAAATTTATTTGCCCCTTAATCATTTTGTACCATCTCAATATTCTGTAATGAAATATTGGAATATAGTACAACTGACACAGAAATCGAAAATATTAGGAGAAAACAGAAAATTCAGGAGTTGATACAAGAAAGCTTACACAACCCTGTGACTTAACAAGCCCATATACTTCTTCTCTAGTGTTGCCGGGAGATCATAGTGATATAAATTTGCATATGGAGTGATGCCTACAAAGAGATATTTCAAGCATGGTCAAAAATTTGCACCAAATTTAATATAGAGATTACAAATATCAAGCATGAGGAAGCACCTCGTCGTATCATGTAGTTTATCAATCGGTTGTAATACGCCACACCTTTCCAGTTTACCTTTCCCGTGCCATCTATTAAGAAAAAAGTAAATATATTCGTAATTCGGATTAAGGAAATGATCCATAAAAATCAAACGTATTTCTAAGTTATTATATATGAGCTTGAATCGAACCAACTGTACATCGCAATATACCTGGAAAAATTCGTGACCATGAAATTGAGAAGCGATATGCATCGAAATTCATCTTTTTCATGATGTTGATATCTCCCTGCACCACAATTCCAATAGTATTCAAATCCATTATGTACATATAATAAAATAATAATTGTAATATGCTAATTAGTATCACCCTGGTTAGAAAAGCTTCGTGTTTGACAGGTAATATGACTTACACTTGCTTATCATTTGTAATATGTTTTTCTTCTTGATATATAAATGTCAGTTGGTCCCATTTTTACATCATAGTTTGGTTCATTCAGATATTTTAGTTAATTGCCATCAAATTTACAGTTGGAGATTTGAGGGTATAATATATAAATCTAAAACAATGCACTGTTATTATTGTTTAAAGTTTTTCTAATATAGGCACAAGAAGGTTGATATATTTATAAATAAAACAAAGTTCGGTAAATACGCTGCATTTATGACAGAACGTACGTCTTCCTACGAAGCAAAATTAAAGAAACTCTCATTGACGATAAAAATTAGTTCAATCATGTAATGATTTCAAACTGATGCCAACAAAAAGCTTGTTGAAAGTTAAACCTCCCTAAAATAAATCCGTTTTTATCTGCCTCAATTTACAATAAAAGATATTTGCTTAATAAAGGTTCCAGATGTTCAAGACAAAAAATATGGTATTCAGTCGAATGGAAAGAAAATAGAATAAACTATATCTACAAGTTTATACATTGCAGCATTGTAGTATAAAAATAGTATAATTTTCTAATCTAAATAGCGAGATATGTGTTAACCTTGTATCGATGGTATTCGTCCACCGCCCTATCCGCAGTAGCATTATTCGCAATATTTCCTGCTCAATGCTTAAAATAAATTAGCAAACAGAGTACAAAAATTTCACACATTTCCAAAAAAGGACAGCTAGGATTTTACCAGGAACATGAACGAACACATCCCAGATGCTGGGCCCACGTCCGTCCTTGAGAGCCATGCCCTCCACTTGATAAGCCGACGCCGCAGTCCCGAACGTGAACCCATCCGGGAATCCGGCCCGGTTCAAAACACCGGTGTTCGACCGGTACGGGTTAGCCGTAACGGCGTTGACCGCATTGCTCTCGGCGGAGCACCAGACCGCGAGGAGAAGCACTGAGAAGAGGAGTCGTCGAGTCTTCATGTTGAAGGGTGGGGGGATATTGAGGGGGTGGGAGTTTGAGAGTGGAGGTATTTGTAGACCGTTGGAGTGACCACATGGGATTTTTATGCGGGTGGGCGCGTAGAGTGCCGTGCCGGAATGCGGGCGGGTCGAGGGGAACGTGACGGCGATCACGGAGATTTGAAGGTGATGGTGCGAAATCACTGCAATGCCCTTGCGGTGGGAAAGGGGCTGACGGGAGTCTAATTCCTAAGTCATTGATGTTAATTTCTTTTTTATTTTTCATTTTCTAACCTACTGGATTACTTTTAAGAAGTTGTTATGAGGTTTGATATGTTTAAGAATAATAATATCACATGTTTAATCAGTTACACATATTAACATGGAACTTAATTTTCGTGATAGTTTTCATTATAGAACTTTAAAGTTTTAAAAGAGATCGTAATGAAAGCACAATAAGTGATTGAATGGTTAATTTACAGCTTCCGTACATATTTATGGCTAATCCAATTCAAAACGTGGTGGGTGCTCGTGTCAAGTAGTTGATATTAGGATTTGGATCCTACTTGGTACAGAAAAAGTAGCGAAGAAACTGTTACCATAGTAGAAACAACTAATTTATTTAGTATATGATTATAATTCAATCTAAATTTAGCACTCATTCCTAGGACACATCGAAACTTCATCACAGTTTCTTGAAGAAGAAAAAATTCAACGATCCATATCCTCGTAAATAATATACAAATTCATTCAGAAAACTATAACTCTTCTCAAAGCAATCAACGCTGACGTATTATCCGATACAAATGTCACAATATTAGTCCAATTTTCACAATAGACACAAACTTTGACCATCATTAATCAAGTTCTTTATGTTCGTTCAAATTAAATTGATGTAAGCATTAACGATCACATTCTGTCATTTGATCCCAAAGAACACCTAAAAAACAAAAGACTTATCTGTAATTAATTCTCAAAGTTCATCTCCGCATCCAAGCTTCAACATTATTTAGACTCAAAACTTAGCTCACACTATGTATTATAAGCGGTGAATCAAACTTGCACGCGACACATGCAGTTACGAGTTTTATCGTGACGCATGAGCAACTAAAATGGATCCAAAAACAGCAAGCACATTAAAGGCTTCACTAACTAAAAACTGAATATATGCATGCACCATGCATTTTGAACGCGATAAGGTTCCTGCGTTATGTTAGATATATTATCGTCGTCGTCATCATCAACCCTCCTTAATTTGGATTCTAGCTCAATCAATCATGCATATATTTGTCGGTCGGCTATTATTAAGCACGGCTACTATTTATTAGGACGTAGACCTTATCCAAGTCCAATATCTGGTCTCTATCCGATCACGATCAGCAACCATACGTCATCACAATTTCAAATCCGTGGGCCATCGTGATTAGCACAATCGACGAAATTAACATTTAGGCACCAATCACCTCTATCAGAATGCTGAAAGTAACTATATTTCTCTCTCCGTAATAAGAGACCATCTCTGATGAAGAAAACCGAGAGGTCTATGTTAATTTATCCTATAGTAACTAAGTTTTTCAATTGAGATCTATCTGTTGGATAGCAGGTTCATAATCTGTTTTTGTAACAGGTTATTAGAATTCCTAATCTATTTTGGTAACATAATTCTTAATTTGTTTTGGTAACAGGTTATTAGGATTCCTAATTTGTTTTGTTTTTTGTTTTAGAATTCCTAGTCTGTTTTGGTTTTAGGTTTTCTATATATATGGAACGTCTTAGAAGAGATTAGGATCATCAAAAAGAGGAGAGTTGTAATCAGAGATTAGAGAGACTTTTTGAGTATTGTGAGAGGGAGATATTGTGAGCAAGTTGAGAGCTTTGGTTGAGGGTTAGTTTGAGTTTTGTGAGATTGTAACCATTTGTTCTCTCCTTGATTTGGTGGAATCTCCTCATTCTCTCCCCGTGGGCTTAGTCAAATTGCCGAACCACGTATATCTCTGTGTTTGTGATTTATCTGTCGTATTACAGTTTTGGATTGTGCTCGTGCGTGATTGGTTATTCTTCTCCTGTGCTTACTGTTAAGAATCTGAGAGAACAATGATTTTGAATATCGAATCTTGTTTTCATACAATGAATCATGGTCCCTTAATATAGGGATGAGGAAAGAGTTATACATGGTAATTACAATCAAGGAATGAATCAAGCAAAATCTCCTAAATATATGTAATCTCTCAAATCAAGGCTCAAATCAAGGAGTAAATATTCTAGGCATATGTAGAATATTCTAACACCCCCCCCCTCCCCTCCCCTCAAGCTTATGGAGGCTTGAAGAGCATCCGGAGCTTGGATACGAGGAACCGGAACCTGGCAACCACATGGGGTTTGGTGAACAAGTCGGCTGTCTGAAACTCGGAAGATATGTGCGGTAGCAGAATATGCCCTTGAAGAAAGTGTTGACGAACAAAGTGACAATCCACTTCAATATGCTTAGTGCGCTCATGAAAGACATCATTGTGGGCTATTTGGATGGCACTTTTGTTATCACCGTATAAGAGTGTGGGGTCAGGATGGTCAATACCCATATCTTGAAGTAGCCAGCGAAGCCAAACAATTTCGGCAGAAGCATGAGCGAGAGCACGATATTCAGCTTCGGCGCTTGAGCGGGCAACGACAGTCTGTTTCTTGCTTTTCCACAAGATAAGTGAATCGCCAAGGAAAATACAGTACCCTGTCGTGGAACGTCGATCAGTAATATCACCAGCCCAGTCTGAGTCAGAGTATCCTTGTAACACAGGACGAGATGTAGAAGAAAGATGCAGGCCCTGGTGTAAGGTCCCTTTGATGTAGCGTATGATACGGAGAACGGCAACAAAGTGAACAGAACGAGGAGCAGACATGAATTGGCTTACAATATGGACAGCATGGCTGATGTCTGGTCTAGTGATAGTGAGGTAGTTGAGACTTCCCACAAGTTGCCGATATAATGTGGGATTGGGTAGTAGAGTGCCATCAGAAGGGGAGAGTTTGACATTCATCTCAAGAGGAGTATCGACAGTCTTGTTGTCAGTAAGGCCCGCACGGGATAGAATATCAGAGGCATACTTAACTTGGGAGAGGAAATAGCCTGTAGAGGAGTGAGCAACCTCAATACCAAGGAAGTAACGAAGGACTCCCAGATCTTTCATTTCGAAACACGAACATAGATAAGCTTTGAGCCTGGATATACCATTCAGGTCATCCCCCGTGATAACCATATCGTCGACATAAAGTAGTAGGATAACAATGCCATACGAAGAGGAGCAAGTAAACATTGCTGGGTCATGAGAGCTCTGAGAAAAACCGTGCTGTAGAATAGCTGTGGAGAATTTCTCAAACCAAGCCCGAGGCGCTTGTTTGAGACCATAGAGAGCCCGTCTAAGTTTGCAAACCTGTCCAGGGGAATGAGGAAGCCCAGGGGGAGGTTGCATGTAGACTTCTTCATTTAGATCGCCATGTAGAAAGGCATTCTTAACATCCATCTGATGAATAGTCCAATTGCGGATGGAGGCAACTGAGATAAGAGTGCGAACGGTGGTCATACGAGCGACCAGGGCAAAGGTTTCTTCATAATCGATTCCATACTCTTGAGTATATCCCTTTGCAACAAGACGAGCTTTGTATCTGTCAGTAGACCCATCAGACTTTGTTTTGATTTTGTAAATCCATCTACATCCAACAATGGATTTTCCAGTGGGTAAATCTGTGAGAACCCAAGTTTCTGTTTTCTGAAGAGCAGCAAGTTCCTCAGACATAGCTTTCTGCCATTGAGGATCAGCAGAAGCCTCACGTATGAGGATGGCTCATGGAGAGATAACAAGGCAGAGAGGTAACATTCGTAATCGGAATGCCAGACTGGTGGATGTCGATCTCAGACTGGGCGCATTAAAGGGCCGTCGGCAGGAGATACAGACTCAGGACAAGACGTAGAGTTGTCAGCAGGTGGACAGACAGTCACAGGTGCAGGAGGAAGGTTAGGTGGTGGCATAGGAGTAGTGACAGGATGAGTGGTAGGTGTTATCACAGTGTCAGCTATAGGAGCAGTGACTGATGGCATAGGATCTGACACTGGTGAATTAGGGGACTCTGGGAATAGGTCGACATGAAGAGAGGTTATAGTATTTGTGAGGGGATCTTTGGACAGGGAGTAATATGGTTTATGTTCCCAGAAAGTAACATGGTGGGAAATACGAAGACGTTTGGCAATCGGGTCGTAACAGCGATACCCTTTGTGTTGAATCCCATACCCTAGGAAGACACACATGACATTTTTGGGAGTGAGTTTTGTTCGTTCTCGTTTTGGGAGTAACACAAAACAAGTGGATCCAAAAACACGAAGCTCGGAATAATCTGGAGTGGTCCCATATAGAAAGAAAAGCAGACGTGTGAATGGCTTCCCCCCAGAATGTGGAAGGGACGGATGAGGAGACAAGAAGAGTACGAGCTGTTTCAACAAGGTGTCGGTGTTTTCGTTCTGCAACCCCATTTTGTTGAGGGGTGTCTGGACAAGATAGTTGGGGGAGAGTCCCTTGTGATTTTAGGAACTCAAGTAAGTGTTTGGATAAGTATTCTCCCCCGGAGTCAGATTTGAAGACTTTGATAGTTTTCAAAAATTGAGTTTTAATCATAGTAGCGAATTCGATGTATACTTTTAAAAAATCAGATCGAGAATGAAGTAAATAAGTCCAAGTGTATCGAGAATAATCATCAATAAAGACCACATAATATTGAGCTCCACCCATAGAAGTGACAGGGGCTTTACCCCAGACATCAGAATGCACAAGATCAAAAGGAGAGCTGGAAGTAGTTGTACTATTATTAAAGGGAAGAGCTGGTTGTTTTGCCAGTTTACAAGCAGTACAAGAGGGATCCTTGTCTGAAGTAGCTGGTCCTAACAATCCTTTATTTATCATGTATTTTAGGCGGGGAAAAGAAACATGACCTAATCGAGAATGCCAGGAGGATAAGTTGGCAGTAAGAGCCGTGAGAGATGAGTCGGTGGAGGATGGAATCTGTAACTTGTCTGCCACATATAGTCGTCCAACTCTATGGCCGGTCCCAACTTGTATCCCCGTCGAGCGGTCCTGTATGTACAACAAAGCTAGTAGCATGAAAGATAATGATTAGCCCAAGGTCACATAACTGTCCAACAAATAA